GATTTTCAGCAACAACAACTATCTTAACCCTTTCCTTTTCAAATAGCAATAGCTAAATCCCTTGCTTATATCTCAAATCCTTGACCCTGCTATATAACCAAACACAAAATGTCTCATCACATCTGTCACACCTCACTTCAATGTATTTATGAATGGATTCACTCCTGAGTTCAATGCTGCCAGAGCCTGAGCATGCCGCAGTGACGTCCTCCTCCCTCATTAGTTTCATGTTGCTTGTCTCATGGCTTGATTTTTTGCATAAAGTTCTTGCTCTGGACTTCTTCAGCGTCCTGGTATAGCCTGTGCCACAAGCCTTGTGGTACTTTGCACAAGGGTGAAAACCCTCTTGGCTGGGCTGACTGAGACACACTTTTCTCTGAAGCATCACTAAAGAGCCTTAGGCCAACACAGCAAGGATGTACTTTTTAAAGAAAGTCAAACAGCCGAAACACAGCTTCCAAAAAATGTAGTGCTTATGAGTCCTTTGTGTCAGAGAGGGCAGAAGTCCTTGTCAGCAAAAAGACAGGCCAAATACCTAGATTTTTTTCCCGAAATCTACCCAGAGCCCTTCCCCCAACGGATACTGCCTACTCCAGGCCTTCACAGAGTCACTACTTCTCTTCCCTACTTGAATTTAAACAAACAAGCTCTTTCCCCACAGTGTCTTTGGTTTCTGCTCCAGAAGCCACAGATACAGAGCAATGCCTGGCCCCACTGATGTGTGCTGACCTGCTCAGACAGCCACAGTCCTCCTCATCCTTGTGATGGCACAGAAACAAGCCACAGGCAAACATAAAAATGCTACCAGACACTCCCCTGTTTTTAACACCTGGATTGTTCTTTGGTCTCAGGCTGTGTTGGACCCCAAACATACTGCCTATGTCATTTTATCAGCTATAAGCTAACACCTCCCTCTACCACATAAGCACCAACACAGGGACCTGGGCTTGGAGTATTTTATGAGATGCACAGTTCATCAGCCCAACCACCAAGCTGCCTAGAGTTATTTGTGGATGCAGGGAGCAAGGCTGAGAACTAGGAGAGGTTTTAAACTGACTCCTACCTGGGATGGCCACAGATAATCAAGACATCATCCCTGTGCCTCCTCCTGACCCTGTCATGTCCACAGCTGACAGGGAGAAAATGCTTCATCACCACTGAGAGATGTGCTTCCTCATCTTTATAGGCTCCTTGCAGAGCTCTGTGGAATGGCATCATCACCAAAAGGAGCCCAAGTGACCCAGATGGGTGGTTAACCCTCCACAGGTGCTACAAACCAGGAATAGGAGGAACTAAAATCATGAAGAATGAGAAACTCCTGTGCCTTGCAAGGTGAGGACTGACAGATGGGAGCTTCTCACCTGCTGTTGCCACCTGACCAGAAGTGCTGTGGCTCTGTGACCAGAGGGTGGACATGCAGTGGGGACAGCAGCAGCAAGAGGGGGCCAAGGAGACTGGAAAGAGGGCAGTAGAAAGCCAAGGAGGCTGCAGGTCTGCTGGCTCTGAGAGCTGGGGGATGAGGAGGTAGGGAATGGTTATAGCTCCAGACAAGAAAGATTTTGCCTCCTCTGGTGACTTCAGCAGGCTCAGGACACAAAGTCGCCACAAAGCATCAACAACAGCCCACCTAGCACAGACCCAAGTGCCTGCCAGCCCTCATCCTGCTGACACTACAGCTCCTGCCATGGTGCAGGTAACAGCCAGATGGTTGTGAGTGTCCAGGGGCAAAAACGGGGCCACACCTGCTGAGAAACAACAGGTCATGAGAGCCCCTAGCCAAATCTGCCCAGACATGCTGGCCCAAGTCTTGTACCAAATGTTCTGAGCTTTAACACACATTAGCAACTCTTTTCCCTAATAGCTTTCCCTGTGTTTCTTCTCTTCCAGCACTGAATGTGTGATTCAGTCATGCATTAACCGTTGTGTCTGATTCCTGATCTGCTGTTAAAATCTATGTTAATTCTTTAGAATCCCTCAATTTTTTTTCCCCAAGCAAATTCTGAGCAGTTCTGAGATTCCAGTACCCAAAGACACAGTAGGTAGCTAACATGGTCTGCTCTCCAACAGCTCAGGCTGCATGAATGGTCTAATTAACACCTCATCAAACTCAACTGTTGGTTGTGTCTGGAGAAATTCCCTCTTGCACCTGTGCATTCACAAGACACCATTTCTAGCCTCCAGCACAGCAGGCCACAGCTATCAGAGAAACGCTCCATCACTGCAGAGCCCGTCCTTACATCAGCAGTGGTCCTGGTCCAGCCTCTGGGACTAGCCAGCCCAGAGTGATGCTGATACGGGCTGTGGTTGCCCTGACTGAGGTGGATGGAGCCTGGTGCACAGCAGAGAGCAGTGCCAATTCATGCTGACACTACCGTTGTTGCAGGACAAGGTTTAAACATCAAGTTTAGCTCAGTTGCTGGAGATAACTGTTAAGCAATACACTACAATGTCTGGGACACAGAGGATGCAACAGGAAGGTGTGATTTTAGGTAATACTTCACAATGAGACTTTTCTGAGTGTTTCAGGACCTCAGGTAACTCTAGAGGCTTTCCCCAGAGGGCACCTAACTCTAGCTTCTACTCTTGGAGGTCACTCCCTGGGGGTCTCTGAGCTCTCCTTTCCCACTTCAGCTCATTTTCGTTATTTTGCCTGCCAAAACCCAACTCCTCGCTTTGTGTGACAGGGCACTGCTTGCCTGGCAGACTAATCCACCCATCCCTTCTTCTGCTCTGGGGTGTCTCTTCTCTCCCCTCCAGCCCTACTTAACACTTCAGTCATCTTCAGCTCGGCACATCTCTTCCTACCTGGTTGACTGCTGCTGTTCACCACGTCTTTTAAAATAAGAGAAGAACTTTGCAGGTTTTGCATCATGAGGACTATTAACTGCACATGCTCTATTCGCTCTGGAGACTTCATCCTGCTGCAAGCACTAGGTAGACCACTCATGGTTGCCTAGCAAGGCAGACGGCAGGATTGCCATTGAGACCACCTTCCTAAATTCCTTCTCTCTCCTGCTGGCTGACTGTATGGGGCTCATTCAGGATCCCGAGAGGCATGTTCTGGCTGTGACAGCCCCAGGCACGTGCTGAGCCACATCCCATTGACTAGTTGTGCGATGCTCCTGCAGAAGGCAGAGCTCTCGGTAGCACTAACCAGAGAGCACTGAGGAGACCTCAGGGAGCTGCTGGGAATAAACCTCACGCTGTCAAGCAGCTTAGGAATGGGGTGTATTTGTTTGTCCTTTTGCAACTCCATTTCCAAATAGTGCAAATGAGTGTTCAGCCCTTTGTCTTCATGTAATCAGGCTTGTTCCTCCTCTTTATGCCCTGCCTGGTAACAATGAGGTTTTTATGTGGAAAGACAAGCGGCTCTTGTCCCACAGGACCCCATGGGCTGTAAGGCCATACTGACACGTGCCGCTTGCCATGAGCTGCAGACACCAGGGTTTGGAATGCAGGACACAAGGTTTCTCTGTGGGAGAGAGAAATCCCTTTGAGCACCTGTGGACCAGCCTCACCCTGGCAGGCAGGGATGGCAGCAGAGAAAAGCACATGGCTTGGAGAGCAGGCAAGCTCGTTACAGCTCTTTCAGACCAGTATGGGGGTCTGGAGGGTCGTCACCAGGACTGTTCAGACCCTAGCTCTTACCTTCCTTTTTATTCGAGATGGTGTGTCTGGCATCCTCTCCATCAGATTATACACTACAGCCTCCCTCCCAGGGTTGCTGTCAGTCAAAGTGCAGCTCCAGCATCGCATAGCTACTGG